GGCTTTGGGCCGAAAACGGAGGAGGCGCAGAAAGTCAATAGACGGTAAAACCATTTAAGCCAGCCGCAGAATTAGGTTACACATTACTACAGTCAATACTGGCGAGTGCAAACTGCAGACTCGACACGTTCTCGAGGGTGGCTCCCATCGGGGGTGGGGCCTGTACTTCGATCCCCCCTGTTGGAGGTGCTCCAAGAACGGCAAAATATTTATTCACAGTTCGATAAATAAAACTCCATGTGCCCGGCAATGTGCAGAGGCAGAGGCAGAGGCAGAGGCAGGCAGCCAAGTCATGGATCTAATGGCCTGGTATCCATCCATCCAACTACCCGGCCATCCATCCATCCATCCATCCGACGGTTGAACCATCCAACAAGCGGTAGTTTTAAATAAGAAATGAATACGACGCCTTTGTTCGGGCGCGGCGACTTGGACTTAACTCCAAGTTGCTTACGGAATGGGATTGGTATAGGGATTGCGACTCGGATTGGGAGCAGACGGCGCTGAAGTTGCAGTTTGAATTTGAGTTTTAATATCGGGTATACACTGGCGGAGCGGTATTTGCTTAGCTTATGCCTGCTCCGCCCGAAAGCCCCGGGCATTTAACACTTTGTATTTACTACCGCAGAAAAAGCAATTGAATTGCTCGTTGCCAAAGCAATAGGAATGGCAAAACGACTTAAGCACATTCGCTGTTGCCGTTGCAAGGAACGTTGCACTCGGGGAAAGTTTTCGATTCGAAATGGGTAAACATAGAACAGTATTCGGGGTTAAATAATCAAGAGTAGAGTTGGAACTTAAAGATCCATGAAAACATGTAAAATGTGTGTATTCTTATTTATTAAATAGATAAATTTTACATTCTCAGTTAACTAAAAAGTAAAGGGTAAACATATTCTGTAGTTATTCCAAGTGTAGAAAAGCAGGGAATGGGATCTTCCAGGGCTTACAACAATAATGTTGCAGCAACGTTGATTGGGCTGCATCAGAGCGTCGCAAGCGGCATTAGGAAGTGCGGCCACGTCTGCATCTGGAACTCAAAGTGGATGTGGATGTGGATGTGGATGTGGATGTGGATCTAAGAACTTGGGCTAGAGAAATTGTTATGGCCCATTGCAAGTGAATGTCCGTCCGTCTCTTCCCATTTATCTATCCGCCGTGTGTATATGTGGCTTATGGTTTTCCTTCTGTTTGCTGTGCGTCTCCATTCCAAGTGACTGGAAGACAACACGGAACCGAAGGAGGAGCAAACAAACAGCCGCACGTGATATGCAGCCAAGAAACAGGCGATGGGTTATGGCTAATTGGGGAAACTTCATCGAGCCATCCAGCCATCGAGCCATCGAACTGTCAATTGTCAAAAGGCAGCGGGTTGAATCAGGCCGCAAACTAAGTTCGGAACTTGGCAAAACATAATTCGCCCGCCCTTTTGGGAGAGCTCCCCGTGCCGAAAGTGAACTTTCGTGGGCCTGCAGTTTATATGGATCCCAGGCCAATAATTCAAGAAGTTCACGCTACACAAAGTTCAAGTGAAGTATGCCAGGTCTGCCTGCCTCGTCCTGAAAGATGGCAAACGGAAATTTACTGCAGGCACGAACGGCAAACGGAGCGGGGAGTCCTGAAAAGGGGTGAAAAGGATTCGCGGAGTGGGTAAATACAGGGGGGAATTCTCCGCGGAGCGAAATATGCACATTTCCACACTTAATAACAAAATATGTTAAACAAAATCATTTGATGTAGGGCGTAATTTTTTCAGCTCCACTGCTTGTGAGTGAGTGAGGTTGTGGGTATGTGTGTGTGTGTTTGGCCAGAAGGCCAACACAAACACCAGCGCAGCCTCATGTACGCGGAACACATGTTTACATGCAAATTACATAAAGCAGCGGCAGCAGTGGCAAACAAACGCAAATTACATGCTGCATACTTTTAGGCCTGCGACTCAGACCTTCCGTCGTGTATCGAGTTACCAAAGTAAATTGTATGGCGACTCTTCCCCACACATCCACATCCATTTCCGCAGAAAAACGGCGTCCAGACAATGTCGCGTCGCTTCCTGGGTCATTTATGGGTGTTTCCCCCTCTCCTTTCGTCCTGCAAGCCACCACTTTGCATACATTTAAAGTATTTTGGTTTTTTTTTATACCCTTGGAGAGGTATTATTGGCGAACCTCTCAAGAAATGGTTAAGTAGGTCCTCAAGTTTCGAAAACATTGTGCTGAGAAATATATGTCTAGTTGAAGTTAATATTTAGCTAATAGCTTTTAATAATTGGGAATGGTTAAACTTGATATTTATTATCATATTATAGTTATACATATAGATCAATTTTATTTGTCTAAATGGTATACTAAGTCAAATACCTGATTTGTTCCATATTTTCTAAGGGTATTTTCTTTTCGTTCTGTAAAGTTTTCCTGCCATTATTCCGTTTTACCGCCCTTGGATGAAAGTCGTTTGGCTGAAAAAAAAGCCACGGCGGCGTAACATGTAAACAAACTCATTTAACTGATTTTCAGAAAGGAAAACGTGGCTCCTGGGCATGGTGGTTGGTAATGGGCGGTGAGATTGTCGGCGTAGGGAAATCGTGGGAAGTGGGAGTGGCAGGTGGAGTGGAGGTGGGACTGGAACGGCCGCATTATCATCATCATCTCGGCGCTGTTTTTGCCCGCAACTCTTTTCCAGGAACAGCAAGAGCAGCAGCTGCCGTGGCCGCAGCCTGAGGCTAGATTTACATGTCACTCGACTTAAGTTGGTCCTGTTCCCCGGCTTGTAAGCTGCTCCTGGTCCAGGACCTCACCTCACCTCACCTTCGCCGGCAGTCGTGACCACGGCGACAAGTTAACTTGCTCCTGCTATCTGGCATCCAAGGATCCCACAATCGGGATCCCCCAACCTCCTGCAACTCCCCACTGGGCACATAATCTTTGCATAATTTCCAACTCAGCTTTTCTTTCGCTTCGTCTGCGCCTTTTTTACTTAACTTTTTGTGGGTAACAAAAACGGCAAGTGTCAGCAGAAACAGCAAAAAAAGAAAAACTAAATACAACTCCATCCAGTTTTTTGTTTATTTTTTTTTGCTGCTGGCCAGAAAAATCTGGACATGCCCAGCACCATTTGTTTCTCCGGGAGGATCCGACTTATCCAGACACATATAGTAGTTCCGTATGCGAATGTTTGGATTATGCTGATTTTATTGCCTGCTTTCGGTCCGGCAAATGAGATATTCAAACGTGTTAGTTTCGGCTCTCAACTTTTTAATAATAACTGGCCTGCTGAGCGGTAAGAGGTCGGTGCATCCCGCTCGCTCGCTTTCGGCCACGTTTCGCTTTGAAATTGGACCAACAAAAGCGCAAAACTTTGGGGGGCGCTTTCATGTGTACAAAATCAAAAGGATAATTGAGACATGTGAACAATATCCCTAAGTGCGAGCGCCCAGAGCACCAACAAACCAACAACAAGCCCAGCCCAATGAAAGGTCGCACATCAAAGGTGCTCCCCAGACATTTTGCCAGCTTACCCCAGATGAAAAGCAATTAACAAAAGTAAAAGCAAGAGAGCACTGAGTGGGACGGTTACGCAAAAAAAAGAAGAAAAGTATAAAAGTCGGGAGAAAAGAAAAATATTAAATGCTTGAAGAGGGGACTTTCGAGGGGCACACGCAGACGTGGCTACCTCAAAAAGTGCCAGGCACTCACAAAACTGCTCGAAGGAAGGGGTTGGGAAAACGGGGATCTAGAAGTGGATGTGTGCACTTCAAACAATTTACATGTTTGTACCGGAGAGAGATTAAAAAATATAAAATAGAATATAGGATACACAGATGCAATTTAATTAGATTTAATTTATTTTGTTTATTATCGCTCAACATTTGTTTACCGAATAATAAAGTTTTACCTAACCAAAAACTCATTCAGAAGTTTTTAACTTTTATTAAACCGAAATTATTTTTGCGAGTGCTCAAAAAGTGGAAAGTGGGAGCCTCCACGCACACATGCACGACAAAGCAGAATAATAAATTTCAATTCAGACGACGACATGACGTCTCTGCCTCACGTCGACGTGCATGTTGATAAGAAAGTGTACAACCCTTCCAGCTTCCCAACCCACCAACCCAGCACCCAAAACTCCCCCTTATCTGCAAGCAGCTGGGGGCAGTCTCTTTAGCCTTGGCTAAGCCCCTCGGCCAGGTCGGAATAACGGGTAACGGTAAAAAAAAAAACAGGCTGGAGCGAGCGGGAAAAAGTAGCGCATAAATGCCACGTGGGCGAGCACGAGTTGAGCGGGTGGAGAAGGGAAATGCGCAACGCAGCCCAAAGGTGTCAAGCGGAAAATAAAGCATAATAATGGCTGCAGATGGGGAACAAAGGCCTGAACACTGGAAGTGGGAAGTTGGGGCACGGCTCCCAGACACACGTCACTCATTTAGGAGCTGAAGAGGCGATGGTTAGGTGCGTAGGTGACGCATTATCCGCCTGACAATCCTGCCATTCTGCTGAGTTCAACATTTAATGTGAGGTTATAGTGCACGGCGGGCGGAGGGAAAGCCCCGAATGTGCTAATCATTTATGCAAAAGCCCCGCAAAATCCATCAAAGAAAATGCCAAATGAGCATAGCCTCCTTCTCGTTCACTTAGCATAAGCCGCAAAACGCAAAAATAAGCAAAAATTTCTTAGAAAGCGGAATATCTCCAGTGATATGAAATCATTCATGCAAATCCGATGACTTGTAATTTTGTTAGTATTTTTAGGGGTCATGCAAAGTACTTGTGCCAAAGTTTATTTTCAATCACTTGAAAAATAATCTGGTCATAAAAATCTTGCAAAACTGAAGCTCAAAAGGTCACAAAGAAAGTGATGTAAAATAAACATTTTCAAGGCGGCTTAAAAGGTTAAGTTAAAATGAAGTTTGATTTCTACCCTTTTAATTCTCGCTTTACTTGAATAAACGGATTACCTGAAAACATGAGTTCTAACCCGTTATCTCTCTCCATTATTTTCAGGTATATGTGAAGAAGATGCGAAGGCTCGACTCCTGACAGAGTCCAGAGTCCCAGATCCGAGTCCTTCAGCAGGACAAAGGCCACTTGATGAGGGGCCGAGCACTCTGATCTGATTTGCAGGATTGAACAAGGCGAGCGATAACCATAACTGGAATAGCAGCAGAAGTAATTTGAATTTGCGAGAGCGAATGCGAATGCACCGGAGGGAGCGAGAGCGCTGCAAATTGTGTACATATTTTGTCTCTGTCCGTTCCCGGTCGCCTGCGAAAGTGTTCGTGTGTGTGTGAGTGTTCCGTGTAAATAAATGCAAAAGTGCAATGCAAAAACAGAAACAGAAACAGCAACAATTGCAACGGCAGCGGCAACATCAGAAGGAACAGGAATAACAAGCGAAATGGCAAAAAGTGCAGTTAAGCGTGGAAATTGCATTAAAAATTGAGCAAAAAATTGGGAAAACAAAAAGCGGCGAAAAGACAAAAAACGGAACAAACAAAGACGTAAAACGTAAAACGAAGCGCTGGAGTTAACGAGCGCTAAAAAGCAAAAAAAAAAAAAAAGAAGAACCCAGCAAAAGCCGCTACACAGACAGTCGCGAAAAAAAAATTCGGGAAAAAAGAGTGGAGTTTTGATTGAAATTTTCACTGTGCTTTCATCCTTTCTGGATTGTGTAAATTTCTGATTAAGCAACAAGAAACCAACAAATCAACAAACGCGTGGCGCGAAACGTAAAACAATAGTCTCCCCGAAAGGATTCCGGCCAAACAACCGAATTCGATCTACCGAAACTTAGAAACAAATATCAAATATCAAAAATCGAAGAACTTTCGTTATCGTTATCGAGGCAACAAAGCACTCTGCAGTTCGTGTTTCGGTTTTGTCATGACAGTTCGGGCCAACGTTTTGCTATATTTTTTATTGTTTATGCACAGCCAGATCGCCGTTGCGGTTGCGGTTCCCCCAGCCATAAACACAACTGACTGATACACAAAATTGAGCCGTGAACACTGAAATTCGAGTGCGACACAAGCTTGAAAGCGAGCGAGTGAGTCGTGCAGGAAAAGTCAAAGTCAAAGCCAGCCCCACCTAACGTCCACACAAAACAGCCCGAGAACTCGGGTCGTTGACAAAGTAACGCATTTAGTGATAAGAGCCAAACGACTTTGGCAAAATGAGCAGCCAGCAGAGGAGCAGAAGGAGCAGCAGCAGCAGCTGGAGGAGCAGCAGCAGGAGGAGCACAAGGACTCGCAGCACGGAGATGGCCCAACTATTGCTCCTTATCGGCATCGCAGTCGCATCATGTTTGCCGGGTAAGTGTCAACAGCAGTCCTTGTATCCTGTCCCCAGTCCTCTGTCCCTAGTCTCCTGTTTCCTGTTAGCATCCAGCTGACTTATCAGCCAGGCCCGGAATTAATGCAAATATTTAACGTGCTTTTTTATGGATTTGTCGTCGTCATGCGGCTCAGTTGCCTCAGTTGCTCCTCCCAGGCAGCTTCTGTCATAATAACGAGCTCTGGAGACAGAGCCTCTGTAGCTCTCCACTTGACATGACTTGTAAATGGCTTTCGATTAAGTTGTCACATTAGCATTAATCTCGAGCTCCGAGGAGCAGGCATCTTCTTCGGGCTCATTGAAGTTCAATCAAGTTGTCTGGCTGCTCCCATTCCCATTCCCTCTCCCCTTCTCTTTCCCCCCATTGGAAACGTGCTAATGAGCCGTGAGCTGATGAGTTGGCTCTCCCTCTCTAGTCGAGCATTTTGTTGCCAAGGACCTCGAAGGTGATCTGGGTCAGCGGGAGATCTGGCACTCACCATTCGGGGCACTCACCATATAATTGAAATATAATTACTCGACTGAAAGCCGCTTAAAGCGTTCGTCCTGTAAACTCATATATATTCATTATTTCATTATTAATTCAGGCGTTTCACGGCAACGCCGCTGAATTTTAAACGCGGGTAAAAGCAACAACTGGAATCGTTTTAATAAATATGACTGGCGGTTATGAATATGCATTCGCCATTATCCCGAATCTTGTTTCCCTACAAGCGTAATCCGATAATCATAGGGGTCTCTTCAAGAGCTTAAGGCAATTACAAAACCAATTGGTTTTAAACACAAGAGGTCATTCAATCATTTTTCTTTCGCCCCGCCGCCTGCGCTTCTAATTTAATGCCAAGTTCACATGGGGATTACGTATACGCAGCGTTTGCACGGCCATAAACACATTCCGGCATGCAAAACAATGGAACGAACGATAGTTTCATTCATTTTATTTCGAGGGGGAACTCTTCTATTTGTCCATCACAAATCAGCAGCTGGGCCCAGCGTTTGTCATTTGATTTCGGTCGCACGGTTCGGAGGCCCTTTCATTCCATTTGGCTTTGTTTTCAGCTCGCCTCGTTTGATTTGCAATATTTTCATTTACGGCAACAAATTCGAATTCGGCGCGCTTGTTTGTATTCCTGTTTGCGCTTTGTCTTCGCCCACTATTTGCTCTCCGTTTGTGTTGTTTTGCTAATTCGAACTATTTGAAATGTTTTTTTTGGGTTCGGGGTGGCGGCGGGGGTCATTCACAATATTTGTTGTTTACCCAGCGAGCATTTCTAATATTGCTGTTTGTCTTTGCGATCCCGAAACTAGTTAATGCGAAATTAATTTCCAAATTGAACCGAGGCTATAAATAAAACATTCGATTCCATTCCATTCGATTCGATTCGGACGGACTTTTCCTTTCATGTTCTCCGCTTTTATGGCAGCGACAAAAATTGGTCTCAATAAAAATTTACGTTTCATAAAATTTATTATGTATGCAATACAATGGCCTTAACACACTGCGGGGGCAAAAACACACATACACACACAGGGGGCAAATCAAAGCAGGAATGACCAAAAAACAACAAGCAATGAACGACTTTATATGCAGGATAATGGCCAGGACATCATGGGTCGGGAGTTTTTCACGTTCGCCTGTCTGTGTGTGTGCGGCACTCAAGCAGCCGGAAATTTATTACTTCTCCGGGAGCGAGTGAGTGTGATCGGATCGGATCGGACAATCCTAGCCCCAGTCTGGGTGGCATTCTGGCATTCTGGCACTTGAACTCCGGACAACTATTGGGCTTTATTCGAAATCATTGACCAAATTCTTAAGTAATCAAACTGAAAGTTTCCTCCTATCCCAACTGTGGCCGATAAGAGCCTTCCACTCGCCCAGATAAATACAAATCATGCAAACTGGCCAAAAAAGCTGCAGCAATGGAAAAAGTTGAGCATGACTTTTCAATTTTGGAATGTGTTTAATGGCTCCACTCGGAGTGTCCGTATCTTTATGCCATGTGTGTGTTAGTGTGTGTGGGTGTGTGTGAGAGTGGGTGCAAACAGCTGACCAGCTGACTGTTAATGGAAATTGGAGCCATATCACCCGTCCCCAATAAAATCTGAAAAGTTCGGATGGGAAAAAGTTAAGCGCCCAGCTCCCCCAACTTGGGGGGCAACTTTTAATGGCCCACTAAAATAATGAAAGCCAAGACTTAATCAAACGAGTTCCAGGTACCAGATTTCAGCTCCTTTCCAATCGATATTGTGCCAAAGTAGTGATGGAAAAGGTATCACTTTTTATGTCCCAGTAAAAGGAGTCGGAAAAAACACACACTTATTTTAATTGCATTTCTTCTCACAAGAAAGCTTATTAAATGTTGTTTTTCGAACCAAAAGTAGGATACCCGATTCCCATAAAGATAAAAGGCACTTAGAACAGAATGTACTTATGGAGGGTATAAAATTACAAAACTTTTAACCAAGGACACCACCACACATAAATCGGTGTCACGTGTGTGTGACAATTAAAGAAAATCGCGACCTGCAGAATTACGTGGCGAAGGTAGCGGAAAATATGGGAAAAATTGTCGCCAGCGGTTGCCTGGTTTCCGAGCACGTAATGAAAATATCGCGCACATGTATGTTCATTTATATATATGTTATCCTGCTGAGGTGGGCGTGGCTCCGCCTGATCCAAAGGGATTGTGGGAGACGCCTGATTTCGCCTAATTAAATTAGAGAACGCAGCAATTCCAGCTCAATTGAGGATGCAGATGAGGACTGGGATATCGAACACACTGGATGCCAGAAGGACAACAAGGACAACAGCATCCTGGCAGCCTAATCCGCAAACAAAGCAAGTGTAAAGAGGGCTCCCAGCGGGAGTGGGAGTGGGGATCCGGTTGTGTCCTGTCATCGATTTCCCTGCCTTCTGCTCCTCAAGGACCAAAGCATATTTTCGCCTAGCAAAATTATGCACAAATTTTTCAACTGTAGTGCTGTGTGCTTTTGTGTAGGGCTGTGTGTGTGTGTGTGTTGGCAAACAAAGTCGAGCAAATATGTGCATACACATCCAGCAGGAGGTGCGGATAGTCGAAAGGGCTCCACTTTCTGCTGGCGCTTTCTAATGCAAAATAAGCCAAAAAACAAAGCAAAGGCCAAGGGAAGCATCTATCCAGCTGCCAGTCATGGTCACATATAGCTCAAATCCCTTCTCCACTCTTAAATTGCCGAAATTTCCCTGCACAGGAAAAAATATGTGTATGTGATGTATTGTAAATTGGAGCATGGAGAAACTTTACATAACAAGAACAGCTTCCTGTTAAATGTATGACTGTTTCTCTTGTTCTATCTTATATCTTTAAAATACTTGTCTATAAACATGGACATAGGTTTACAAACTGTAGAAAGAACGCAATAAATAACCTTTCAAATTACTTGTTAGAGAGCCACATATATTTGCCATACCCATTATTTTTTCAGCATTCCCATTGCATTCCCGATTTAAGCTGTGTTTTGCTAAACTTCGCACAGATTAAGGATTTTTCCAGCTGCAGTTCAACTCGAGTTGAGTTGTTGTTGTGTGTTTTATTCCGCTTTCGGGGCTTCATGGCCGGGGGAAGCCAAAGCCGAGGGGCATGCCCCAAAGGCAGTGGGTAGAAGGGTGGTCTTGGGTGGCTGAGGTCATGGCCGTTATCCCCCCCGCCGACTCCCCGGGCTGAAAGTCTTTTGGCAGCAAACAACATTCATTATGCATGCATTTTAAATTGTAAATTTCACTACCTTGCATCCAGCGAACCCTTGCCGCCTTGCCTCCTTGCTTCCTTGCCGCCTTGCCGCCTTGCCCCCGCTGCCAAAATGGATTTGGTGGCAGCCACAGCTCCTGTTCCGGCTTTGCTGCTCCTCGTTCCGGCTAAGATGCTGTCAGCTTTGGACCGGGCTAAGACCTACTGATGCGCTTGATGAGCTTTTGGCCATATTGTTTGAATGTTGAATTTTTACCACCCCAGCGGCTTAAGGCGCCCCTTCTCCGAATTCGGCAAGAATAATTCTGTCAAATTCAATTTTGCCAAAATGGGGCAGGGTACAAAGCAAAGTTTGTTAATCGGCTGAAACTTGCAAAAACACTCTGCCATTAAAAGTTCCGGCTGAATTTGTTAATGAATTGATCATTTTCATGCAGTGAAGCCCGAGTGCTTGAGTTAATTTGATCAAATTAGCTGCAACATCAGCATTCCGACAACAATTTGTGGCCATTTAAAGTGGCCCTAAAACTTCAAACTGCTTACCAAGTATTATGTGGAGACGAGGAGCCAGCCAAATTGAATATCTCCTTTCAAAATTGCCATGACAACTGAGAAAGGATGGGGGATTGGGGTGTTGGGATTGGGGGAAAATTCGAGCGGCGGCAGGGCCACCAAAAAGTTTGTGGCGCCTCAAAACTTTTGTCTGTATGTGAGCCATTGGATTTTGGGGCATAGATCAAAAACGCAAAAAGGGGTTAGGTTGGGGGCTCAGACCTAAGCTCAAGCCGGGTCTCTGATGGCGATGATGGAGATGACGATAATGGGCATTCAGGCAAATAGGCAAATCCGAGCCAGGGATATAGACTCCTTTCTCCGGAGTCCGGAGTCCGGAGTCCGGACTTTGGACAGGTTGCCATTGTTGGCAAGTGGCAACAAAGTCAGGCAAACAAAATCCGGCCAGGGGAGATATATCTCTGTCTATGGACTCGGAACTCCTCCTTCTCCTCCCTTAACACACATGCCAAAGCCTTTTGGGTCAGAAACTTTTCAAATACCTAATCCCCATGCCGGTGGCAAGAAGGAGCAGCAGCAGCAGTGGCAGCAGCAATTTCAGTGGCAGTGGCAGAGTTAGAGGCTTAGGTCTCCGATTCAGCCTGATTATAAATAGAAACCCGTCCGCCTTCTTGGGGGTCAAGCGTGTGTGTGAACGGCATCCCCGTAAGTCGGTCGTCTAAGCTGATTCTCAGCTC